TCGTGTGCTCATAGTGACCCTCAATGAGGGGAGCACATGGTCTGCCTGGTAGGCACAACCAGGCTGTAGGCAAGAAAGAGGTTCCGGGAGGGAACCAGTAGCAGAGAAAAACACTTTAGTCGAGCCAGGGCGCAAGCTCGCCTTCAGCAGCTGCCTGATAAGGCCAGCTGAAATAATAGCAAGAGGCCACTAGCTTCCTGAACCCAGCACCGCTAGGGAACCACTCACAAGGAGGCCTGGTGAGGCCTACTACCTGATAGCAACAGTATGTGGTCACCTACAGGGAGGCCTAGAGAGGCCTACTACCTGATAACGATAGTACGTGGGGAACTCACCCTCAGGGAGGCCTGTTGAGGCCTGCTACCTGATAATCACAGCATGTGGGAACTCGTCTTCAGGGAGGCCTGGTGAGGCCTACTACCTGACAGCCATAATATCTGGGAGCTTTTTTCTGCTACCCGATAGTAAGTCAGGTTAGCTGTCCAGTTGTCTGTCCTTGGGCTTGTCTCCAGGGAGGCCTGGTGAGGCCTACTACCTGATAGCCAATGTAGGTGGGGATTCGCCTTCAGGGAGGCCAAGAGAGGCCTACTACCTGATAACCATCTTAAGTGGGAATTCACCTTCAGGGAGGCCTGAGGGGCCTACCACCTGATAGCAACTGGTAGCTGAGTTCGGGTGACAGTTCCAAGGCGGCCTGCTAAGGCCAGCCAGCTGGGGACTCGCTTATCAGGGAGGCCTGGTTGGGCCTACTAGCTGATAGCAAGTCAATTCTGCTACAAAGGAACACTGTTGGGAACCATACTACACCAACGTAACTATTGGGCCCACCCACAGGCGGCCTAGTACGGCTAGCTACCTGTAGTGGCTATAAAGTATGTCCCACAATGTTGGGACTCACCTCCAAGGAGGCCTGTTTAAGGCCTACTACCCACCGGTGAGTCAACTGCCTGTACCACCAAGGCCAACCATTTCTCTCGAGAAGTGGCCTACAGCGCCCTATTGGGGGCTGCCCATACAAGGAGGCCTGCTGATGGCGCAGCCTTCGTTGGCAGATAAGCTGTTTACACAGCGCCTACAGCATCCTGGTGCCTAATCACATTGCCCACGGCAGTGTACTCAGCAAGAGAGCTTAGCACCCTTAAAAACAAGGGGAGTACAACATACACCACTCTGTCTCAACAGAGGCCCCAGTTAGTCAGGGGCCTACCATCTATGCATGGGCGTCAGCTCAGGGCAATGCTCTGGCTACAGGCTAGCGTACTTCGACCAAAGAAGAAGTGAAGGCTTACTTCATACTCGACCCGAGCCATAGTGGTGCGAGGTAGGATAAACAGAACTGAGAGTGAAGTACTCAGACCTACCCTGAATCACAGGGGAATACTCACACCTCAGGGGGCGGGCCTGCCAGCAGCTCTAGGGTTAACAGAAATGTATCTGTGCCCAACCTAGGGGAGTGGGGCTTGAATGAAAGCCAACCACCTACAACCCGGCGCCCGAGCAGTAGCTCAGCGAGGTAAGTGAAGCCCATACTGGCGGCCTAAATCCGTAGGCCAGTTCTGCACGGCAGGGTCGGGCAGGAGACTCAGTCTTCTTCGTGAAGCGAAAGACGGCCTAACCCTGCTCAAAAGGACTTATATACCACGGAGGCCTAACTGAGGCCTACCATGTCCTTATAAACCATCCTCTGCACCACGCTGCATTACTCTAGTCACCCCAGAATTTAAAGAAGGGGGCGGGCCTTGGCCTAACGACTCCCATGGGAGGAGGCTGTTTATACCGGGATGCCAGAAACCTACATTCACAAAGTGAAGGGTCAGAGGAAGAAATGCTAATTTTAGCAGAACGCCTCTAATATCCCTGGCACAGCCTAGGCCAGCTACAGAGGCGGCCCTGGTGAGGGCCAGCCTGTAAGCATAGATCTATCTGAGGGCTCGGAGGAGCCACAGCCTACTAAAGAATATTGTCCGTACAAAGGGCTGCAGAAACGCTCAACCTAATGAAAACTCAACAGAGCTCAAGGGGCGAAATACTCAGAAAAGTCAAAACGGTCCCATGGGCCGGACATAGAGTGTTGACTGACGCTAGAGCTTCAGATAGACCTTAAGTAAAACATTCTATCAGAGAGAGACCAACTACTCTACCCTGAGGTGGCTAATAGCCCGAAGGCTAACATAGTTATCGTTCTGGCCACCTAACGGGGAACTTCAGGGCCCTGATAATCCAAAAAAGTTCTCTTACCTTACCTTGACATGGCCCCATAACTCTATACAGGGAACCAGGTCTGTAAAGAGAAACATATTATTTTTTAATCACAAAAAATACTCTTTGAAAGACCAGCAGCTCACCTGCGGCGTGCGAAGTGAAGACTCACCAGACAGTTCTTCATGAACATGGGGTCTACCACCTTTACATGCCTGAAAGAGGCACTCTCACTAACCAAGCCGAGGCGGGCCATCAGAACATTGTTCTAACCATGAGCCCAGCCTCAGGCTTGATGTAAGAAGCGCCTGGGGAGTCGGGGAAGAGAGGAAAGGGCTAAGATATAATCACGCCCTCAGGGAAGATGATGCATGACCGACGCAACGTGCGTTTGTGCTGGATCACCTCCCTCAGATCCCTCTTCTTGCGGGAGTCGCGCCTCCTCTGCGACCTATTACTCCACGGAGGAGGCGCACGAGAGGTGACACTGGCTCTCTGGCCTTATCTAAGGTCCTCGGAGCATGATAGGCCAGGCCCTCCCATCTGTCTGGGCGTGGACACGGATCTCAGCGGTATGTATGTCCTGGATACAGCTGAGCGCGCCTTCGCCTCTCTGAACTTTCCAACCATCGCCAACACAGAGGTGCCGAAAAGCTCAGAAGGCGAAACCAGCGAATCGAGGAGAAAGCCTTTCTCTTTCTTCCCGATGTCGGCCAGGTTCAACCACAAATGTCTCTCCGTGGCCAGTATCGTCGCCATCGACCGGCAGACTGCAGCAGCCCGGAGAGCTATATATTTTTTTTTTTTCATTTGCGGCGCAGCTCAGTAACCGCCTTAGGGGCCCCACCCCCTGGTCGAGATCCCCCAGCAGATCGGCCTGGTGTACCTGCAACACCGCCATGATGTGCAGGCTAGAACCGGCCTGACCCGCTGACGTGTATGCTCTGCCATTCAACTGGCAGGGTTTGAGCTCTCAGTGTCGATTGTTTTCCCATCGACGCATACCCACGCTCTCCTATCCTCTCAACATCAGCGAGACTAGCCTGCTGATGTTGGTGGATACAGGCAGAGTATGGGTTCTTCCATGTCCTCTCGATCTCAGTATGAGATTGGGAAGAAATGAAAGGCTCACCTGAGCTGGTGGTTCTATGACCGGGGAAAAACCGCTCTCATCGCGAGCGATTTCTCCCCCAACGAGCAGCCACGGCAGCTGCAGCCTGCCCGCGGCGCGTTCCATAACACCAACCAGCTCAGCATACATGGGGCAGGGTGGCTGAGAAGATACAGGAAATATCCTATTATTACCACCCTCATCAGCCATCTCCTGTTTGTCCGGGAGAGCGCTTGCTGCCGGACTAAGTTTTCCCTTTTTTTTTTTTTTTTTTTTAAACTTCATCCAAATGCAGCTTACCCTCGTCAGCCGCCGCATCGTCTGAGAGGATTACACCCCTCTCAAGGCGATCGGCGAGCTTCATCTGTGACATCCAGACGCTGAACCCTCTTCTCTCTCGAGAAGAGGGACAGGCGAGAGCGGAGCGATCACAATTTGTACAGGCAGTTCCCTCGAGAACGGCCTGTGCGCTCTTCCTTCCCAGACAGAAAAATGCACAGTTCGTGTGTGTCACCCGGCTTCAGATATCTTGAGCACGGGTCTGCAAACTTCTGAAAGCATTTCATAATTACCTGATTTTCAAAGCGGTTACAGACAAAACAGTCCCTGAAGACGAAAAGATGATTTGTCATGTTTGCAAGGCGCCCTTATATACTTCCAGGTCGCACGTTAATCATTCACGTTAATGATTCACGGGCTGTCGCCGGTCAATGTGATTGACGTGATTTGATAGTGATTTCAGACAAGGCGTTCCCCAAAGGGTCATTCGACACAGTGCGAGTTCCCTTCGAAAGGGAACTAGTAGTTTTACTGAGAGCGTACTTTAAAGTTTACTTTCATAAACTAAAAATGTTCTACAAGTATTAAAATAGTAAACTACTAGTATACCCATAAGTTCACTTGCAGTACAAATGAGAAACGTAATTATGAACTTTACTGAAGTTTACTACTGTTCCACTTATACGTTTCTGGGCGGCAGTGGCTCAGTGGTTCATGTTGGTTGTCTACAAACCGGAAGGTTGGTGGTTCAATCCTCGGTTCCACCTGACCAAGTGTCGAGGTGTCCATGAGCAAGACACCTAACCCCAGCTGCTCCCGACGAGCTGGATGGCGCCTTGCATGGCTGCCGTCGCCCGTCGGTGTATGAATGAGTGAGTGAATGGGTGAATGTGAGGCAAATTGTAAAGCGCTTTGGTGGCCATTGGGTCTGTGAAAGCGCTATATAAATGCAGTCCATTTACCATTTACCATTTTATAGTACACTTAAACGTATACTTTTATATACTAAAAGTGGGCCAATTGAGTCCCAAGCGGTATTAAAATAGTACACTTACAAGTTTACTACTAGTACATATTGACATTAGTATACTTACTACATAATGTATACTTGAATACTTGAACATTACTTAAGTATACTTCATAAAATGAACTTGAAGTACACTTCTTTTTCGTAAGGGTTACTCACTATTCTTTGAATCATTGTCTTGTTGCTTGAGCTTCAGTTTTCAGACTAAAGATAGGATATTGTCCTTTAGCATTTTCTGATAGAAAGCAGAAAAATGTAGTTCCTACGATGTTGTTCTTGGGCCTTTGGGTGGGGGTAAATACTTTTGCTCAGAATTGTATGATCATCTGTATTTTCTTCTCTTCACTGTAATCTGGTGTTTAATGTATTTTTGTTCAATTCTAGGAGGAGCTCAATACAGCACTGAAGTCCTTACAACAGAAACTTCAACACAATGAAAAAGAGAAAGGAGAGTTTGAGGAAACAGCTCAACACATCAATGTGAGGAAACAGAATCAAGAGTCATTTTCATTACAGCTCTAGGATCACTTTATACCGTTATACATTGATATATTTAATATAATGAATTCCAGTTGATTATTTCTGTAAATGACGAGCAGCGTCTGCTTCTGGATCCGTTATATGTCGGGTATCTGACATTAGGGTTGACTGAGATGACTGAAGTGAATGTGATTTGATTTCAGTCTCAAGCTGAGCACACAGAGCGTCAGATTAAAGAAGAGTTTGAGAAGCTTCATCAGTTTCTCAGAGACGAAGAAGAAGCTACAATCACTGCACTGAGGGAGGAAGAGGAGCAGAAGAAGCAGAGGATGAAGGAGAAGCTGGAGGAGATGAACACACACATCTCAGCTCTTTCAAACACACTCAGAGACATGGAGGAGATGATGAAAGACAATGACGTCTCGTTTCTAAAGGTGACAAATCAATCTGGCTTCATTCTTTGTGCATAAAACAACTTGTATAGAGAGACTCATTGACAGTGAGAGTGTTTGATAAGATATTAAAATGTTTTCAAACTCTATATTTTCCAGAACTATAAAGTCTCGATGGAAAGGTAAGTGAGCTGCTCGTATCTCTTCTCTCAGTGGATCTGAACTCAAATTCACTGCAGTTCTGACTCCTGAATGTTCCTCAGAGTCCAGATCTCACAGCCGGATCCACGGATGAGTTCTGGAGCTTTGATTCATGTGTCGCGTTATCTGGGTAACCTGCCGTTCAGAGTCTGGAAGAAGATGCTGGAAACTGTCCAACACAGTGAGTCTCAGCAGATTTGACACAGTGCAGAAGATAGTTCAGATATAAACAAAAAAATACATAATAAAAAAAATATATATATATATATATATATATATATATATATATATATATATATATATATATATATATATATATATATATAAATCACTTGAATTTCTAAGTGAATCTACTGTATTTCAGAAAATCATCAGATCATTCAGCGAACACATAATAAAAGTCTATTCCTCATGGTCTATGTTTATGAATTGGGATACAATAGTGTTTGAACACTGATATTAAACCTGAAGCCTCAATCCATTCTGACAGTAACTGAGAGACCATTGTTATGATTATAATTTTTTTCAACAAAGTCTTTATATGTGTCCTCTAATCTGATGTTCTTCTCTTTGCAGCTCCGTTGACTCTGGATCCAAACACAGCAGATCCTCGTCTCACACTCTCTGCTGATCTGACCAGTGTGTCGTTCAGTGATGAAGATAAAACACTTCCTGATAATCCAGAGAGGTTTGACTATTATCCATGTGTCCTGGGATCTGAGGGCTTTAACTCAGGAACACACTGCTGGGATGTGGAGGTTGGAGACAATACAGAGTGGACTCTTGGAATAACCACAGCATCAAACCAAAGGAAGGGAGAGGTTTTCTTTAAGTCTAATGTCTGGTGTGTGTGGTACACAGACAGCAAATACATCTCACAATCCCCAGAGCAACGCCTCACTTACTTTACTGTTAAACAGAAGCTTCAGCGTGTGAGAGTTCAGCTGGACTATGACAGAGGAACAGTGTCATTCTCTGATCCTGTAACTAACACACATTTACTCACATTCAGGACATCCTTCACAGAAACTGTCTTTCCATTCTTAGGGAATGTCTGCACAACTTCCCCTCTGAGGATCTTACCAGTTAAACTGTTTATTACAGCAGAAAATCACAGTTAAATCTGATTCTGCTTCTAGATTAATACAGTTTAGCAAATTATGCTTCATTAATAACACTGTAATAAAAGGGTCTCATTGATCAATCACACTTAAATGTAAATTTTAGAGCCAAATTAACCCTTGTGTTTCCTTAAGGACATGTTTGTCTCTTTCAGTTTTTTTTAAATAATTTTTTTTCCTGTGTTAATGCCAACTGCATCAATTTTGGCATAAGTGTGTATTTTTATTTGAATTTTCTTATTTCCTTTCCACATTGTACACAAAATACTTACACATAGGACCCAAAAATGTCCCCATTGAAACCCATTAAAACTGACAATTTATTTTTATCCCAGGACCGTTTAACTATAAAATGATGCAGTCTTTGTTAATATACTTTTGTTCTGTAAAAATAAAATAAAAATTACAAGATGGTGCTGTTTTCTCAGGTTTGGCCTATAAAGTGAATACTAGTAGTGAATATACGGTAGCTTATGTCAAAAATGATTTATGACCCCTGCTTTATGACCCTTGATTGATGGTTTTGACAGGTTATGAGGGTGGGGGAGGGTTTTATGACAACAGGTGGTTTTGCGTCCCATTTTGGCCGTGCTTGGTTCCGGTGTGTTTATGATGCGTGTTTACGACCCCAGGCAATCTGCTTGGTGTGACTGTTAGGAATGTTTTCCGGGAAAGTTTTATCTATCAGGATAATGTTCACAGAACGCTGAAATTATGACCAGAGGATCCGTGATTTTCAGCTGACACCGCATCATCCATATTGTCTGTTGGGGAGAATGAAACAAAATGAGTTTAAAGAAATAGCATTGATGACAAATAAAGCTTATAAAATTAAATTAAATTTAGATGTTAAGTGTATTAAACATTTAAAACATGTGTTGAACTTAATGAGGCTGTTATGTGTCTGACTAAAGTCACAGACTCTTAAATCTTTCTGATGAGATGAAATGTCACAAATGAGTTTTAAAAATAAAAAGCATTACGTTTAAATAAAACACATAAATTAGTGAATAATAGTTAATATTATATGAAATTATATTACCAAGCATACATATTTTAATCTATTACATCGGTGATATAGGTTCACACTGCAATATACGGACTTACATAGATAAATAAAACACATAAAATAATTGAAACAATCTGTTAAATTACCAAGTATGCAAACTTTAATCTAATGCACCACGAAATACTGTCTTAAATAGATAAATAAAACATAAAATAGTGAATAATAGTTGGTATTATATTAAATAAGTTGTTAAATTACCAAGTATACACATTTTAATCTAATACATCAGGGTTATAGGTTCACACTGCAATATACTGACTTACATAGATAAATAAAACATATAAATTAGTGAAACATATTATTTGAAACAAGCTGTTAAATTACCAAGTATACAAACTTTAATCTAATACACCGCGAAATACAGCCTTACACAGATAAATAAAACATAAATTAGTGAATAATAGTTCATATTATTTGAAAAAAGCTGTTAAATTACCAAGTACACAAACTTTAATCTAATACATTACACGCAAAATACCGCCTTACACAGATAAATAAAACATATAATATAGTGAATAATAGTACGTATTAGGGGTGGAACGGTACATGTATTCGTATTGAACCGAAACGGTACGGGCGTCACGGTTCGGTGCACGAATTTGCACGCAGAATACACGGTACAAATAAAAAAAACCTCTTAAATAGCGATGAATTTCGCTCTATTCGCTTTTGGTGTGACTGTGAACGCAGCAATGAACAGGCTGCGATCAAGATTGCAATGCAGGAGTGTGTGTGTGTGTCTGTGTGCGCGAGAGAGAGAGAGAGAGAGAGGCGCGATGAACAGTGTGTGTGTGTGCGAGAGAGAGAGAGGCGCGATCGAACAGTGTGTGTGTGTGTGTGTGCGCGCGCGTGCGAGAGAGAGAGGCGCGGTGTCTGTGTGTGTGTTCGCGCGCGCGCGAGAGAGAGGCGCGGGCGCGAATCGCGCGATGAACAGTGTGTGTGTGTGTGTGTGTGCGCGCGCGTGCGAGAGAGAGAGAGAGAGGCGCGGGCGCGAATCGCGCGATGAACAGTGTGTGTGTGTGTGTGTGTGTGTGTGTGTGTGTGTGTGTGTGTGTGTGTGTGTGTGTGTGTGTGTGTGTGTGTGTGTGTGTGTGTGTGTGTGTGAGTGTGTGTGAGAGAGGCACGGGCGATCGAACAGTGGAAACGTAAAAACATACTCCGTCATTTTTTTCATACAGGACATCATTAAAACTGCAAATTGTTTACTTATATTTGTGTACACTCGCAATAAAACACAACATTGTGCTTTTGTCACACTCTAAACTCTTGTCAAACTGTAACCTACACCTGTTAACAAAAGTTTTTATGGTAGTATTATTTTATACGGAAATCAATTATTTATAATTCAGATGAGAATAAAGTTAGTTAATTAAAATGAAGGAAAACAAATATCTTGATCTGAAATAGCAAATTAATTTTAAATTCATTCAGGTACAATTACCAAACATATCTCAAGGTCTTTTCGTCTTTTTAATAATTTAATTAATAAACTAATTATATAAAACTACTGTCAGTGCACTACAAATAAACTGGTTCTATGCCTTTATTAATAAAACTTATTTAAAAAAATACAAGGCTTAAGACATTTATAAAAATGCCTTCTGCATTTTTGCTTTGCTTTTCACTCCATTGTACCGAAATCGTACCGAACCGTGATGTCTGAACCGAGGTATGAACCGAACCGTGACTTCTGTGTACCGTTCCACCCCTAGTACGTATTATTGTATAAGTATATTATAAGCATTTTAATCTAATGCACAACAATATACTGTTTTACACCAATAAATAAAATAGTGAATAATAGGTGAGATAGGAACATCATGTGATACCGCAATATACTGGCTTACAGATAAATGACCATATCAAATAGTAAATAATAGTTGATATTAAATAAGTTGTTAATTTACCAAGTATACACATTTTAATCTATTACATCAGGGATATAGGTTCACACTGCAATATACTGCCTTACACAGATAAATAAACATATAAAACAGTGTTTATTCGAAATAAGATGACATTTCATTAAGTATTTAAAACTAGTTAAACGTATGTTGAAGCGTACCTACCATTGGTGAAATTAGGAGGTCTTTTTGGCTCTGGTTAAAATCACAGATCCTTGAATTTCTGAGGTGTTTGCTCTCCGTTTGCTAAATTGAAAATGAAAATCGCTTCCATCATGTCCGGGGCCCCGGGGTCCGCCCCTTCCTCTCTGTGTAGCTGCTATGTATTAGCATTAGCAGTTTGTTTCAGAAAACATCAACCAATTAAAAGATAGTGCGGCCACATGGTATTTTACAATCAAAGACCACAACCATAAAATCTCCTGATCTGAAGCATTCCTGTCTGGCTGGGGAGACCCCAAAATGGGGCCATTTTGACACTTCACACGGGCCAGGCTGTAATTAGATGTGTATACCAGTGTCTTCAGGAAAAAGTCAAAACAAAATGGTCGCAAAATTACATATAGCCTACTCTTATCCATTGATTGTTATGATAAGATAAATTGTCCTTATTTCCTGGGAGTTGTCCCCCATCCTGTTTTTCTTGACACCTCAATGACTCCTTTTGAAGAGCAGATTTATTTTTCTAACATTTAAACTTACACATTAGAACACCCTCTGACTTTATGAATACACATAAATGACGGCTTAATGATTTTTTATATTTTGTGCATTTATTTAAAGTCTGCATGTGGGCCGACCATTCTGATACTAGTGATATCTTTGATAATATTAAAGGTTTTCATGAAATATTATTTCTAATTTTTTCAGCACATGTAGTCAGAGTCACATAAAATAATAATAGTGCAACAAATAAGGAGATTATGTTTTATTTATTTTAATCAGGTTTGTTAAAAGTATGCCTGAATGATGTTAGTTAATCTGCACTGACATGTATTTGGTATAACAATGAACATTATATATATATTTTAAAAACCTGTTAAAATCAAGTAATGATGCAATCCTTTAGATCTTAACTTTGAGTGCAACAGAATTAAATGGATGTAAAATTATCAGGTCACGTGTGACATTAACAAGACAGAAAAGACAGTAACACCAATGACACAACGAATCACCAGTGCCACACATAAGATCATAATTAGAAGAGACTAAATTGTTACATTTGGCATACAATCTAAATGAATAGATTTGAATAAAGTTTATCTTTAAATGGGGGTCACCGGGGCTATCCCATAAGAAAAGTGACATCAGTGACAATTTTCACGAAATTTCATTTTGCAAAATGGATGAAACCCGTAGTATAATAACCAAATTAAGCAGTTTAATCCATAACTATTCTATTTTATTATTTTTAAATATCATTTACATAATATATTTGATAGTTATGTATACATTATTGTATTTTAAATTTGGAATAAACTTGTCATAGGCATTAAATTAAAGCCTTTTCCCTCTGTACATGACTGTGGGACCGAGCACATCTGTGATGCTTGAAGTTTTATTTTAAAATGTAAAGAAATTGTAACCCTAAAGTGTTTTTCAAGTGTGATATTTCTGCAAAGGCTAGTGACAGAAATGGACATTTCCATAGAATGACCCAGAAATGATTTTGCATAAATTTTAACCTAAGGTAATATTTTACTTAACAGCATCTGCTCAAAAACTTTACAATTTTAATGCAAAAACTGTGCTTAGTCTTCTTAGATCTAATTTAAACAAAGATATGTAAGCAGTATTTTGTCCATCGACACATAACAGCAAGCAGTATTCCTGTTACCGTAACTGTTTAGCCTTTTCAACTATCAAAGCATTTCAAATGGATGCATTCGACAATATTCGGCTTATTACGGTAATTTCAGGCTTTCCGCCAGCAAATGACGCCAGCTTTCTGGCAGAGCGGGGTCGCGGAAGGATTTGAATGTTGAACAGAGAGATACGGAGCGCAACAGGATAGGGTGTTTTGGACAGCATAAATAATAAAAGATAGAACGAACAAAAACATTGCGATTCAAGCGGTAGACAACAGGTGAGGCGTTTGGGATGATTTTTGATGAAACTTGCATTCCTAGCATGGCCACCCGAAGGAGCCACTCCGCCCTGGCCGCCTGCACTTCCTGATCCGCCCTGGAGGCTTCCTGTCCCTGTTTGGCCACGCCCTGGCCAGTAAAACTCTCGTATTGGAACCTTCAGCCTTACTCGTCTTCATCTGCCTGAACACATGCCTGACACGGTTATAATAAATGCACAAAAGTGTTTTTGTTTTAGGTGAAGATTTTCTTTGAGAGCGGTCAACACTCAGTGGTTATAGGAATAAATGACAATTAAGAATTTAAGCGATAGTC